TATTAATGGTTCTCCTCCAGTCCTTGGCTGCACGAATATATGCACAGGCCTGCACATTTTCCCTAAGGCCGTGTTAAGTTCTATCTCCCCTAACAGTTCCATTGTCTGGCCTGACGCTGTTCTTAAAGTGGGTAGTTCCCCATTGCTCTGAAACATTCTCATGGTTTCGTCCCCTTTCTTGGCTCTTAACTGCTTCAAATCATCCGCTGTCATTTAGGAAACCGTTGCACCGCTGTCTGTTAGTGCTGTCATCGGTTCCACTTCGCAAAGTGTCTCAACAACTAGTTTTTTCCCACCCGCTGCTGTTGGACTCGCGGTGCCACATATCTTCCATTACCTTCATTTCTCCTAGCACTGTAGTAGTTAGCTCTGTCTACCGACTACAAACTTCTCATGTTTCCTCTAATTCTTTCCGGGTTGAGACGGGTAGACGTCAACCCGTCAACGTCTGCGGGAAAACGTCAACCCCCTTTCCATTCCACTGCCACTTTTATAACCCCTCATACAATATCGCACACACTCATACTCGAGCGCGGTTTCTTTTACGGCTACGTATGCGCCCCCTGGACGTGCGGTAGACATGGCGGCCATTACTCTCGTTACTGACTACGCTTTATCCCGCACTGCCTCTGTGACTATCCCACACTTCTTTTCATCAATAAACTCCTGGTCCGCATATAACATGGAGGCTATGCTGCCGCGATTTTCTTATCAACGTACGTGAAGAACTCGACCATAGGTTGCCGTGGTCTCAGTCTTATACTGCTCAACTGATTCTGGAACCTAATCCTCGTCACCCTAGAAGAATCCGTTAAGGCTTTATGAAGCGCCATTACTAACTCCGGAAAACTGTTCCCCCTGCGCACATGTTCTGGGATCCCGAGGAATGGGTCAAGGGCCATCCCTTCGAGAAAAGCCTTTAAATACCTAATTTTCATGTGATCTTCCATCTCAAATCTTAACAAAAACTCCCCAATGAAATCCGTAAACCTTTGCCCATTTTCTCCTACTTTCCTGGGAAACTTTTGCAGTGGAGGTAGCTAAGCCTGTATTCGCTGGCTGCACCACAACATCATCATTAACTCTTTTTCTGAGGCCCCACTATTCCCAGCGCTAGCTCCAATTCTTAATTCATCAGTGCTTGATAACTCATCAGAATACTTACGTTGTGGTTTTCAATCTTGATTCCCACTGCGTCCATAACGCGGTATCTTCCTCTCCTTCTTCATCCACGTTTGTTGGTGATATCGCTTTGGCACCACTGACTGTGTGTTCTGGAAAACATCATTATTTTCGCGGTCCCTGGCCTACCATGGCCAGTTATTTCTATTTCTAAGGCTTTGGGGTCCATTACCTGTCTGGTGACGGTCTTCCCTCCATTCTGTTTCGTTGCGCTCCGCTGTTTCTCTCCTTGCTTCTATACCTCTCTCCTTTTGCATTGGCTACTGCATCTTACCATTCTCTTCAAGAAGCCTTTCTATATCCTGCAATGCATTTCGTTTAGGCTGGTCTGCCTCTTTTTTCCCATCCCTTCTGGACAGTTCATCCTGAAGCTGCTTTATCGGTTCCTTAGCCTTTCTTAGCTCTGCCGCTGTTCCACTATATTTCTAATTACGCCTCTGACTGCAGTGCATTCCTCAGCTATTACTAAATTAGCATCCTGCTTTGCAACCACTAGCAACTCCGCCAATTTACCCGGTGTGCTCACTCCAAAACTACGGGCTACTTCGCCCCGCGCTTTACTTTTCTCACCCAATGAACTGCTTACGCACTTAACCGCCTCTTCTGTTACTTTGCTAGTTACCTCCTTCCACCCTTTTTGAAACTCTATTACTCCTTCAAGGCACT